TGGGTTGAATAACAGTGCAGTTAGCAGGAAAGCTGGGTAATAGGACCAGGAGCATGTGGCGTGCACACCAGTGAGACTCTGGGGCATTGCCCCAGCACGTTTGCTCCTGGCTCCTCTCGTTCACCCTTTGTCACAGGGCTTCTGAGTAGCAGGCTGCAGACCTTCCCGTGGTTGAGTATAGATATGGTCATAAACTCATATCAGTCAAGCCTAAACAGGACTTTGATGTTTCCAGCCAAACTCCACTTAGGAGTTTTGAGTTAACCTGATATTATTGAAGAGGGTGTGCGGTTACCTACAAGAGTTTTCCATGCAGATTGAAATTTGTGTTGATATATTTTTCTTCCTTTTGCTCAAAACCTTACAGATTGTTAATTATATAAGTATACAACCCACTGGATCATTATTTACCTCTCAACCTCTCACCCTAAGAAGTTGCTGGACGTGGGAGGGTTTTGTTTGGTTTAACTAATAGTTTTGATTTTGTTTTTAGTAGGGATTTGGGAGACTCTCGCTACTTGGAATTAGAGAACACTCGAGCAGGTTGCTAGGGTATAAAGGGAGCTTTCTAAATATAGGGAGACAGTGTGAGGATGGGGATTGGTGGGTGCCTTATAATATCGGTATCTTAGGATAGTTGTAAATATATAGTAGACATTTTAAAATTTGTTTTATACTGAGTGAAAGAGAAAAATCGAGGAAGACTCTTAGATTTTTTCTCTAAATAAACAGGTAGAAGGTGGTGCCATTAACTAAAATGAGAAAGATTACTGTCAGGTGTTGCTAATTATAATCTTTTTTTCAAAGTTTTCTTGGTTATTTTCTTTTATTTTTCCATATTAACTTTAACTTCAAATTACATTCTTCAAAGAAGAAAAAAATACCATTAACAAGTTGCAATTGTATGACATTGTAGGGACCGTAGGAGGAATTGTTGCAGGGAAGATGAGTCAGTTAGGCCTTCTCACCTCCTGAAGGCCACGAGGATGAAGCTGCCTGTTATCTTCAGTCATGGTCATTAGTGCTTGATTGAGGCCACTGTGCTGCCTACTAAGGCCCAGGGATTCCCGCCAGGTGGGAAAGTTGCTTATACCAACTCAGCCAACCTATGGGCCATGCAGGTGGCTGTCCCCATGCCTGCTGGCCACCAGGGGCT